GTTCGGCCTCCATGGCGGCGAGGTACTCGCTGTAGCTGTCGCTCTGGCTGTCCGGGCCGCCGCCGCTGTTGCCGCCGTCGCCGGTGGTGGCAGCAGCGCCAACGCCGCCGCCTGCAGGGCCGCCCCCTCTTGCGGCACCGGCCGCCCCTCGAGCGGCCTATTCGGGATAAAAAAAAAAGAAAAGAAAACAGGGTACGCGAGTGGCCGCATGCACGTCGTTGTTAGTGTTGTACATACATGTGGAATAGAGGCACTGCCCTGAAAAGTGTCACACTCCCCTCTTGCCCGTACATGCCTCAACATTAACAAATCGTTCCGGTCTGTACGCAGTACCGCACTTCCTGATACACGTGCGGACAAAAAAAGAGAGGGCCAAGTTGTAACCGAAACACAAGCACATAAATTGCCAGGACCACGGAGGAGGGGTGGGAGGGAAGACGAGCCTGAACGGTTTGGCAGGGTGATCATTTCTCCCCCTTACCCGTGTACCGCAACTGTGGCGAGCGTCGGGTGGACACCCCGACCCTTGCTCGGGCACTTTGATGGATATGGAATGGGCACGAAACAGTAGCTTGGGCTCTTGTGGCGTGCTGGCAACCGGAACAGCCAAAAAGAGGCACAAGCTACACAGGGACAGCGCCCCGCACCAAAACAACGACGCCCCTAGAGCTCTACCACACACCGACAAACACATGGGACTATTACTTTCTTGTCCTCACCGCCTCCCAATGCCGAGGAGGAGCGTTCACGATCTCCCACGACTCGTCCTCGCCCTCCACTGCCACTGCGGTCATCCCCCCGGCCCCGGGTGCCGGCATCTCGTGCGTCGACGCTTCCTGCAGCAACGCCGCCACGGTAGACGCGTCGCTGCCGGCGTCGTCTCCTTCCCCAGCCGCTGCCACCGCCGCAGCCGCCACCGCAGACTCCAGGTCACCCCCCCACTGCCCCATCGCTGCCTTCAGCGCCGAGGCGCCGCCGCCCTCTCCGTACCAGAAGCCTCCCTGAGAGCTCCCGCCGCCTTCGAATCCTCCCGTCTCCTCCTCGTCGCCGAACTCGCTGTCCTCCGGGCTGCTGCAGTACACCGACAATGCGCCGCAGTCATTTCCGGCAGAGCCACGCTGGGGAGAAGCTTCCGTGCCTCGGTTCGGCGAAGAACCACCTGCTGCTGCAGCGCCGCCGCCCGTAGTGCTCGCCGTCGCCGCGAGCGCCAGAGCGGCCATCGACGCCTCCGTCGGCGTCACCGGACCCGCCGCGCCACGGCTGGTTGTTGATACTGCCTCATCATGCTGCCTCGCCGCCACTGCTGTTCCTGCGTCGTCAGAACGGATGGCGGCGGCCGCGGTCGAGGAGGGCAGCGGCTTCGCTTGCTGCCGGCGGTGCGGCTCATGAGTCGGTACACCCTCACCGCCGCCGCCGCCGCCGCCGCCACCGCCGGCTCCAGCGGTGTCGTCGGCGGCTGCTCCAGCGGACTTACCGCCAACGGTAACCCCGCTCTTCGCCCTGGTTGACTTGTCGGGGGAGGAGAAAGGGGACGGGGAGCCTGCCACGCCTCCGCGTGCCGCAGAAAGCGGCGACAGGACGGCGGCGGCGACGGGGTTGCTGCTGTTGCCGCAACCGCCGAGATCGGGCTCGCTCGCGCTTCGGGAGGAACACTCGTCGCCCTCGATGGACTTGCCGAAGGACCGCAGGTGGGGCGGCAAGGCGATAGGCAGGGACGCCGACGATGGAGCCGCCTGTTGCCCACGCAAACGAGAGAGGGTGTCATGGGTACAATGCAAGAGGTCGATTCTGGGGGCGCCTTTTTCTTTTTTCGCGGGTACATCATTCAAGCGAAAAAATGTCAACTTCCGCGTGGTCAGACGCTCTGCAGGGAACAAGACAAAACCCAGGAGTGTCGTCGGCCATGCAAGCGTAAAGTGGGACTAGCCCGACAGGGCTTGTTGTCAAAACGGTCGTGGCGGTATAGTCCTCGCAAGCGGAGAGGAGAGACGTACGGCACACACATCATCGCCCCCGCCGTCTTGTCAATTCGTTCGCAACCGTCCCTCCCTCTCCGGATGAAACAGCGGTGCACTACCCAACCTAGTGGTCTGCCATGTAGACGCGTCTTCTGCGCAGGCAACGCCACAACTGCACCAAAGTCGGGGATAAGAATGGGGCACAAAAAATGAAAAAACAAGCAAGTGGTGCAGCAGCAGTGGTCCCGCTAGAATTGCCGCTTGAACAACGCCGGTTGCCCTGTAAATGCTGGTTCAAGTCAAGGGGCAGGCATCTACCGGCATTCATAGCGGGACCACTACTATACTTCGCACGCACCTGCACCTCATCTTGCGCGTCCCCTCGATCCGTCCAGCCGGCGTGTTTGTCCGCATGGTATCCGTCCTCGCTTTGCAGCTGAAGTTTTTCCGGGAGCAAGAGTTGTGGGGGGCGAGCGGGCACATTGGCGGCGATGAAGGCGTAGCAGGGGTGGCAGGTACGAGTGAGGTTTCAAACCCGGGAACGCGGAAACACACGTGTGGGTACATCACCAATGATGGTCACGACGCCAGATCGAGAGAGAGCGAGAGAGAGAGAGAGAGCGAGAGAGCGAGAGAGCGAGAGAGACAAGAGAGACAAGAGAGAGAGAGAGAGAGAGCCAGACAGAGAGGCAGAGAGAGAGAGAGAGAGAGAGAGAGAGAGAGAGAGAGAGAGAGAGCCAGAGAGCCAGACAGATGAGACAGACAGACAGACAGACAGAGAGACAGACACACATACAGATAGAGAGACAGAGAGAGAGGATAACAAGGTCAATCTTTAACCTTGCCCCCCCAGACAGGCGCCAACGTCGATTGAACAAAAAAGCACGCGGCGGGGGGGGGGGGGGGGGGGGGGGCCCCCCCCAAAAAAAACCCCAAACACCCCCTGTTTTTTGCCCGGGGGGCCCCCTCTCCTTCCCGGGGGGGGGGGGGGAACACAACCCCCCCCCGTCCCCCCCAAAAAACCCCAAAACCCCCCTTTTTTAAACCCCTGGAAAAAACCCCCCCCAAAAAGGGGGCCCCTTCAAAAACCCGTTTTGTGTGGACCCCCCCAAAAACAAAAAAAGGGGGGTTTTCCCCCCCTTGGTGCGGGGCGGCCCCAAAAAAAAAAA